CAGTACAGAAGAACGCATGCTTCTTCTGTCAGGTTAGGCGGCAAAATTTCGACCCCCAATTGGCCTATGGCTTCCCTCGACCCCCAATTGGCCTATGCTTTCCTGGGACCAAAAAATACGAAACGGTGAGGGGGTGAACCTAGGCGCGGCCACTTGCCGGCGGCGAGCCTTATGAAGTACTCAAACCCCAGCCGTGCTACCTTCTGCGTGCACGTGCTTAAAAGACACCTGCCTATGTGCACGCAATTAGCCGCATACACGCTATTAGCGTATTTGACCGGCTGTAACATTACATTGAAATTTGGCTAATGACTACGCCGCTCTTCTATGGCCTTGGCATCGCCTAGTCAGTCGGGTGCTGGGCCTTGCGAGTCATTTTGACTATTTCCAACTACCGTCATGTGTAATGATGTCACCGCTCAGCTTGGCGTGTTGCTCATTGAAAAGTATTGACCATGGATCTGCCTGACTTATAGCTTCATGAATCGTCTGAAACACGCCAGTTGAAGGTGCAACCTGCATGAAGAGCAATGGATTGCCCGGGAATCAACAAACCTCAACATCTCCCATGACTTCATAATTGACATCTGCAGCTTTTGATGGCAGCACGCTGTAAGGTTAGCCGCGCCACGTGGTGCAGCGTTCAAAGACATAAATGCATGACAATAACATTTTAGCGCTTATTTGGCTCCATAATAGTGCCGCTGTAATTCTGACACTTAGCCGTAATTCAATATTATGGGTTACCATGGCTGCCTTGGCATCTGCACAATTCTCCAGGTACTCTACGAACATAGCGAGAACGGGGATTATCCAGCCAGGAGCGTGCATAGGAGTCAACAACTGCATTGCAGATAAAACAAATTGGAAACCCACACACAGGTCGATGGCACCTAGTTACGTGGTCCGTGCTCAGGGGTATGTAATGAGACCTTCATTTGGTGGCGTTACTAGCAAGGGCTTTAGTTGAGCGCACACCAACGTCCTTCAACGTGTGTTTATGACCAAATTAGCCTGATTTATCACTTTTTGGTTAAATGCTGGATGGTAGAATCAAAAACTGCCAATGGATAATAGTGCCGCTGTAATTCTGACACTTAGCCGTAATTCAATATTATGGGTTACCATGGCTGCCTTGGCATCTGTAACAATTCTCCAGGTACTCTACAAGCATAGCGAGAACGAGGATTATCCCTCCAGGAGCGTGTATAGGAGTCAACAATTGCATTGCAGATAACACAAATTGGAAACCCACAGGTCGGTGGCTACCTAGTTACGTGGTCGGTGCTCAGGGGCATGTAATGAGACCTTCATTTGGTGACGTTACTAGCAAGGGCTTTAGTCGAGCGCACACCAACGTCCTTAAACGTGCGTTTATGACCAAATTAGCCTGATTTAATTATCACTTTTTGGTTAAATGCTGGATGGTAAAATCAAAAACTGCCAATGCTGTCATTTCGGTTGTGAAGTCGGGTTAAAGTGGGGGCAGCTAATTGTACTGGCCTCAACAAACGGAAACCGTCCTCTACGACTAACAATTGGCCAATCAGAAGTTGTGGATAACAGCGAATATTCTCTCAAGTAGTATGAACGAAAACGGAATGATCCCCTGAGATCTGATGCGACAACTGACCTCAGCCCCAGCCCTATGTTCCAATAATCCGACCAACTCCACATGCGCCAGGAAGATCCACTACTCAATCAACTGTGACACTCACGGACGATGATGCAATTCACCAAGTGTATCAAAGCGACCTAGCATGATCCGTGCCGATCAGTAAGATGATTAAACTTGCAGCCGTAGGCCCGTCTGTGAGGTGGTCAAGTTAGACAACTGGGCAGAACAGACGAGAATTCATCACAACATTACCAGGGCGGGTGGAACCCGTTCCAAACTACTGAGAACCAGTCATCTATGATTTCATGACATCCAGCAACTCCGTCAAGTCTGCTGGTTCAATCAATAGAGCCAGCCTTATCCGACACAACATGCCATAGCAGGGTCTCATAATATGCGGCCGACGGGCTGTCAGTGAAACTGATCACGTATTCAACGTCCCTTTTAATCCAGAAGATAGATATGGACAGCATGAACTTATCTGAGAGGGCGGAGCGAGGAAAGGGCGTGACGCTTCGAGAAGTACGTGATTAAGGATTCGGTGGAGCAGGCCCCTACAAGAGACGTGAATGGCCGTTCTTTCTACGTACATAGGAGCCTCTGGCAACAAGAAGTCAGCAGGCGTGGCCGTGGGTATATTCTCTCGTTGCGGGGCAAATAAGGTTAATGCACTGACCTCCCTAAAACCGCAGCAGGCCCCTACCAGAGACGTGGATGGCCATTCCTTCTACGTACATAGGACCCCTGGCAACAACAAGTCAGCAGGCGTGGCCGTGGGTATATTCTCTCGTTGCGGTGCAAATAAGGTTAATGCACTAAGCTCCCTTAAACCGCCGCGTATGCAAAAAGTCTCACATGTTTACTTGAAACATCTGAGAACCTAGACTGGGACACAGCCCAGACCAATGAGGTCTGATCTCGGATGCGGCCAGCTGGAGCCAACCGGAGACGGAAGCATTTCTCGTGCTGGCTATGTGGCATAGCACGGGGGGTCTGGATAGCCAGTCTCGTTGGCGCCTTCTGCCGGAATCACCTCGGCTGGGGTGGATGGGTGTAGATGGGTCCACGTCGAGCCTGGGGCAGGGTGCCAGACATTAATGTCAGAAATGTAATGTCAGAAATGTAATGGCACTACAGTATCACGGAGAGAATCGGATCATATCTTCAAAAGTATAGTTAGGTTGATTTTTCAGGGCCAGAATCCTCCGAGACGGAAAGACTTCTTGGGCAGCAGTCTTGCCGCCCAAGCTTAAGGTCCTAGCTGTGTACAGTGCGATGTATCGACCCGCATCGCCACAATCTGGTCGAGCCTGGGGCAGGGTGCCAGACATTAATGTCAGAAATGTAATGTCAGAAATGTAATGGCACTACAGTATCACGGAGAGAATCGGATCATATCTTCAAAAGTATAGTTAGGTTGATTTTTCAGGGCCAGAATCCTCCTAGACTTCTTGGGCAGCAGTATTGCCGCCCAAGCTTAAAGTCCTAGCTGTGTACAGTGTGATGTATCGACCCGCATCGCCCATAATCTGACAATTAGCCGCCAGAATCTGGCGTTAGGTATCAGAAAGACTTCAGACAGATCTTAGCGTCCCCCGAGGTAAATGGATTCATCAGCGAAGGGACGCGTACAGAATCGACTGACGCCAGGACATGCCTTCTTCGTTTGGACTCCGCGGTTGCCGCTCGGATATCGCTGCTTGTGCAAGGATACACCCACAGACCTTTATCTGACGGGACGAGGGCACGAGCATGTGTAGTGCGACCTTGCGGAAAGTTCCATCCATCCACTGGCATCATAAAAGTGGGACTCCACCTCGTCGTTGCCCTCACAGACCAACCGTACAATGGCTGGTCAACCACCGGAAGTTCAGCCAGCAGCTAGGGAAGTTATGCAGACGCCTATAAAAAGCCGGTGACACTTGTGAAAGGTAGAGTCAGCGTGGAATGCTTGAATCCCTGGAGGTTCTGGGTGGCATTTCAATGCAGCTCTGAATACAAGTGTTGAGTGAAAGAAGCACAAGAGAGTGCGTGGCAAACAAGCGAGCCACCCAGGCAAGGATTAGAAGGGCGCAGTGGCAGATTTTCTGCGCTAATCAAAAGCAAAGGTTCAGTGCACGAAGATCCCAGGTATCCAAATGGCTGATTGTGGATGCCAAGTGCTATCCATACTAAGCATCCAAGCGCTTGCAAGGGCATGACGTCAGAATTTGTGCAAACTGACAACGCCTGCCTGCATTGACCCCACTGTAAGTATGAACCGAGCAACCTGCCAGGTTGTGGCTGGTGGCGCTCCGTGGCACAGCGGAGGTTCAGCAATGAGAAACCAGCTTTCATTTTTTGGAAGAGGGGAACTAGAAATAAGTCTCGTAACACCAAAACCACTACTGATTAGCGGCAAACTGTAATGCCTGCAAGAGTGCCTAGCTTGGGACGTTGGGACACTCACAAGCCACACGTCTGGTGGGCCCTCAGCGTTTATCCACATGTTAGATCATGATGGCTCCACGTTCCATCCCGACAATGCGGCAGCCTACCGTTACGAAAGCTGGTAAGGCACATGTGTTGCAAAACCCATGTCAGTTCAGATTCGTTGCATAGATACCAAGCGCGCCAGCGTCCCACTATGCACTACTCGAGTTGATACGTGTTAACCAGCCGTAGCCTGGCATGTTGCGATGTTCTGTATCGTTGGCTCAACATGAGATGAATAAGCGCCCTGCTGCGCTAGTATTTGGTTTTTCATAGGGTCGCGCTCGACCATCTTTGGTATCAAACCTTGGAACACCCAGCCCCTGGTGAACTAAACTCAAATCGTGGACCATACAGTGATGGCATCTTTCTACATCCTGATCTCGATCCCAGGTCTTAGACTGTCTCGAACTCGACAGCGTGATGCCGGCAATTTCTGGCCCTGCTGGGGCCTGCTTCATGCATTAGGCTGTTATAGAGCCTGATCCTTGCCTTGCGAGGTTTGCTCGGATTGCATTTCGTCGTCCTTCGGAAGCTCTGACTCGCGCTAACTGAGCCCTAAAGTGGGGCCGTTCCCCTACAGGCTCAGCTCCCGAGCCGAGCCGACGATATCGTTTCCACCCAATCTCGGATTTCGGGCCCCGGCGGTTATCGTATCACATGTCACACAACACGATTGTTTGGGACAATGTGGACAAAATGGGACGCCTTGATTTTCCACCTGAAAGAGCACTTATTGCTGGACAACGGAGCAAATAAAATACCATTCTGGAAAGAATCGGGCAGGCGGACGGTATTGAATTGACGGTAATGGCTTCTTGTCATAACGAATGCCAGTGCCATCCTACTTAATAGCGAAATGACATTGAGAGCCCTTCGTTTCGTCGTAATGGATGTTGTAGATGCTTCGCCAATCATCATCATACCAGTTTGCGGTCATATGCAAGTTCTACTTGGCAACAGTCAACCTCCCACAAGCCTCTACTGCATGCTTGGTCAATCAAAACTGTTCTTATATAACGAGCCAAGCAACCCCACGTGAATCTGTGCCGGACTCATGACGATCTGTCTCGTACCCTACGTTGATCGCCACGTTATTTACCAAGACATATTTGATTTTCGTCGGAAGAAACATCATCGCGAATAAAGGGCTTGGCATCTAAACCATATCCAAAAGCTCTCAAGATTGCGGAACTGGGAAGCTCGCGTTCGTCCCGAACCCCTGGTTTGCACACGAACAAAAATCGGCATTGGACCAACCAAGAGCTTGCGGTGGTCAACAACATGATCAAGATTCGAAATTGGCTCGCATTGTTCCTAGGCTCTTGCTGTTTGCCTTTTGCGACTTGTCAGACTTCAGAGATAGAGAAACCACAATCAGATTATCCGTACTGCTTCTATGAGATGAGTAAACGCTGCACAGGCCAACTTGACTTCGGCTGCTTGTGTCTCACAGACATCGGCATGGTTGGATTTGCCCAGTGTGCGGGAAAGACGGATCTGGAGGCGTCCAAGGCGTGGGAACAGTTGACATACGATTGCAAAATAGCTACTGGAAGCTCAGTACTTTGGCAGCGGGAAACATTTGAAAGAGAGGCTGCTCGGGTGGCCGCGGAGTCGGACGGGGGGAAAGCCGGGACAGGCAGGGCTCCGATCAACTATATCAACGTACACTGGAGGCCTTGATTTAGTTTACGTGTAT